TAATGTATTCGTTAGTAATGAAAAAGATCCTCCTGTGAGAGTGAAAAGTGATTTAGAGCCACCCGAAACCAAACCACCTAATCGTCTTTCTGTTTTTGGTCGCATCAGATCAAGAAGTACTTATCTAGTATCAGGGCGAAAGGAATCAAACAAATCTAATGGATGCAGCCAATGTTCTGACTATGAAAGTTCAATTGTCAACTTAACTGATGATCTAAACGCCGTTGAAAACGAGCTTGAAGCTAGTCGAGAAGTGATCAAAGTGTTACAATTGCAATTGGAAGCTACTGTCCGTGAAAAAGAATCATTAATTGAAATCTGCAAAAGTCACTCAATAACAGACCAAATGTTACATACTCTGGCTCAAAGGGAGAAAGAATTAACCCTCACCGAGTCTCGATTTAGGCAAAGTGAGAATAAAGTTGAAAAACTAACCGCTGAATCTCAAAGGTTAATCAAGGAAAGAGACGATGCAAGGAAGAATTGAATCTGATGAGAGAATTGATTCATGTTAAAGATCAAACAGTGATGTCGCTGACAAATAAAATTTATGATCTTGAAAAAGGGCGTAAAGATGAGACTGCCAATAACGAAAGAAGCAATATTCGTAAATTGGAACAAGATGAATTAGAAAGCTTAAAGGATTCGGTTAACGCCTATCAATTACAAAATAAGTGTCTTAACAAGGAAATAATTGCTCTCAATGACATAAGAAGTTTTAGAAAGAAACAACAGGAATTGCAACTAAATGTTATGATTGGGAAGCCCGCTGTTGTCAGATACACAGTAAACTCTTCATACTCAAGAGCTCAAGCAAACTATGGAAATGAGCGAAAACTCTGAAGAAAATGATCCCCAACAGCTGATTTCTAGCAACCAATCAATTAAAACATTAGTGACTCGTTTATTAGATGAAAACTCTCTAGATATACCATTAAGTTGGAAACCCGGTAATCGAAAGAGGAGTGAAGAGCATACATCATCAAGTGCTGACATGGATTATGATGAACTTGGATTTTCTTTGAAGCAATCTGATTGTGAAATTGAATTTAATGATAAACTAGCAGTTAAAAGTGAAGCACTCAACAAAATGAAGATGAAAAATGAAGGCTCTGAACCTGCTGTTGCTCGTCAGCAATTTGAATGGAAATACAGATGGGACTATTTTATTGGTAATTTAGGATCTAATGAGCTGCAAAAAAGTCTTGAGCTTAAAGTGCTACTCAGAACAGGTGTACCTCAAGAATATCGATGTAAAATATGGCGAATGTTGATAAATATTCGTATAAGAAACTTGAAAGAACGTCTTGGAACTAATTATTATCAAAATTTGTGTACAAAATCAGCTGAGTGCAAAGTTAATCCTGCAGCTAAACAGATTGAGCTTGATCTGTTGCGAACCTTACCAAACAACAAGCACTTCGAGAATATCAAATCGCCTGGTATTATGAGATTGAGACAAGTATTGACTTGTTACAGTCTTCATAGTCCTGCCGTTGGATATTGCCAAGGAATGAATCGCTTGGCAGCTGTTGCTTTGCTTTTTATGCCAGAAGAAGATGCGTTTTGGACTTTGGTTGCTATAATTGAAAATATTATGCCACCTGATTATTTCACTGCTAATCTTCTTGGTGCTCATGTTGATCAATTTGTACTTCGTGAGCTTCTTAATGAAAAGATGCCCAATCTTGGAGCTCATCTTGAAAAACATCACATTGAACTTTCGCTTTTCAGTTGGTTTTTAACCTGCTTTGTTGATAATGTTCCAAGTAACATTTATCTTCGAATATGGGATGTTTTCCTTTACGAAGGTAACAAAGTCCTGTTTCGATTTGCTCTTGCATTTTTAAAATACCATTCCACAGCCATCTTATCGATGAACGACTCACTCGTTATTAATCAATACATTAGATTAATTGGTTACCGAACTACTGATGTTGATCATCTTTGTCACATTGCATTCAACCAACTCAATCCTTTCAGAATGCGTACAGTGAAAGCAAAAAGGTTACATCACACTCAAATGGTGACCAATGAACTCAACAAACTGGATTCTATTCGGAAAACTCTTCCTGTCCATGAAAATAACGATAACTCTGACAGTGAATAATAATGAGATGAATACTTCAATATAATAAATAAATTATTGTAAAAGATCTACATAATTATCGTAAAGCGTCAGATTATGACAATGCAAGAATCAAGCTTTACTATGTACAGTCATCAATTTTTAGTCATTTTGTTTGGAGGCCTTTTTTTGTTTAATGTCCGACTCAAAATCAACAGCAAAATCATCAAACTATTCAAAAATTAATTTCATTAAATTTCGCAATAAAGAATTGAATAACAAAATTTTATATCAATTGTTTATTATTTACCTTAAATTATCGTTTATATAGTGAATCTTTGAAAAATAAAAATGCTCGAAAGCTCCAAACCTCCTAGTTCTAGTTAAAATTAGACTCAGAGGTGAAAATAAACAAGGGTTAGTCCAAGCTGATCAAGTTGACCAAGTTGCTGATTTAGAAGCTAATCAAATTTGTGACTCCCTGCCAACCAATTTTCTTGATTGGAAATGTGGTAAAATTTCAACTACTCCAGCTGTTCGAAGAATAGCCGCTGAAAATAATATCAAGTTGAGTAATGTTAAAGGTACTGGTAGAGATGGTCGTATTTTGAAAGAAGATTTACTCAAATATCTTGAAGAGGCAAAAAATTTTATGGCATCGTAGAAGTAAGCTCCAGTTCTCAATATTTCTCCTAAGGCCAAGACATCAACAATTAACTTGAACGAAAAACCATCTTGATAAATTGACTACTGAAGCATCTGATAAAAGTGTTCCATTCACCGTAATTCAACGTACAATGTTTAAATCGATGACACAATCTCTTAAAGTACCTCATTTTGGATTAAGTAATAAAATGACTTTATCCAATCTTCTCAACATTTTGCCAAACTTAAAAGAGCGAGCTTTATCGAGAGGTATAAAATTGACTTTCATGCCTCTATTCATGAAAGCTTTGTCATTAGCTCTAAATGATTGTCCAATGTTAAACTCATCAATCGACGAAACTGGGACAAGCACATCGCAGTGCCGATTATCGCGACT